GTGGCTCTGTCCGGCCCCGGCCTCCTCAGACACGTGGCTCTGTCCGGCCCCGGCCTCCTCAGACACGTGGCTCTGTCCGGCCCCGGCCTCCTCAGACACGTGGCTCTGTCCGGCCCCGCCCTCCTCAGACACGTGGCTCTGTCCGGCCCCGGCCTCCTCAGACACCTGGCTCTGTCCGGCCCCGCCCTCCTCAGACACGTGGGTCTGTCCGGCCCCAGCCTCCTCAGACACGTGGGTCTGTCCGGCGCTGGCTTTGTCAGACATGGGGCTCTGATCCTTTTCATTGTCAGACTCAGTCCCCCAGTATTTCTTGGGCTTTGCCCCTTTACAGTGGCCCTTGTTAGTCACCTGGATAAAACAGACAAGAGGAACCAGATTTGAGGGACCATACACATCATCCCTGAACACCATTGCAAATGACAGCTTCAAAACTGTCAAGTAACACAGTAAACCATTCAGTATTCAGGGCCATATACATGTATGTCAAAGAACAAAAAGGGTAATACAGATTCCATATACAGATAAACACTGATGTTCTTTCATTGAAATTACTCTGAAAAGCACACTGTCACTGGGGAGTGCTCCGCTATGAAGTAACACATTATCTGCATGTTCCTAAGTTACGCTTCCCAAGAGTGTTCCTGCCAGTCCCCAAACGCACCCCTCATCGTAACTAAACATCACCACTTTTACAAGCTAACTGACCTTTGACTTCTGTGAAGAGGAGCTCCTGAACTCCACAGGAAGTCCCATACTAGCCATAAGGCAGGTCTCCTCATCCCAGTGTTCCTGGGCCTCCACCACAGGCGTCTCGACTTCCAGGTCAAGAGGTCCTGAAGATAGATAAAGTGGCCATGTAATAACACCTTGAGGTACCGGCAAAGTCAGCTACATATCTGTCAGGACCCCTGCTGCGGTTATTCCATAATAGGACCGTGTAAGGCAAAACGTTATGACATCTCGAGCAAAAGACAACTTAACAATAGTATAATTATTGTAGTATCTTGACAATACGGACGTAAAATTTGACTTAATCAATACCAACAGATTTAGATGTTAAATTAATTAATGACACGGTAACAACATAATACCGTCACATCCATTGTCAGTGCAGGTCGCGCTGGAACAGGCTGACTTCAAGCCTGCAGATCGGTACAATTCTCGATCTCTGAAAGATTAAGGAAAGAACACACTGTGAATAAACTGTGAGCTGAAGTGACTTTTATTTTAGTAGAAATCACGGTGTCAAACCGCATGTTCTTCACCTTTAATAAATCAAAACATAAGAAGGGACAAAGGTAATCATAATATTAAGAAACTACTATAATCAAACAGTTTCGGAGGTGCCCCAGGATATACATGTGGGGTAGTAATATGATGTGATAGAGTAGCTTAAGTTCAACGGTTAGCATTGTTTTGTCAAGTACAACTGCACTACTTCACAAACATGGCTTTTTCACTTACTGTACAAATGCTCTTGAAAGCAAGCAGTGAATCCTTCTATCTTCATTAGAATTTCCGTCGCAGAAAAATATGTCAGCAACCATACTGCAACCGTTACTGAAGGCGTTCGTGCTCCGCATTTAGCTATCAAGCAGCGTCTTGTATAGTAACGCTCTATTTCACTAACTGTACGACCAGACGTTTCTTGGTACTTTTCAAATGGTTCTCACCTACAAGGCAGATAAAGGAAAATAAGATTCCGTTTAAAACATGTGCAATAGCAAGTTTTAGTAAACGCCTGTTTTTATTGTTGTAAATTATTAATTAAGTACCACCTACCTAGTAGTGCGGACATCTAAGACGCTCAAAAGCATGCTCTCTAAACTTCCGTTATTTCAGCAACGCTTACGGTAGTTTGTTTTTAAAATAAAAGTCCGTCACATTTATAAAAAACATTTATATTAAGTCAACATCGTATTATATTACGATACTGACAAATAATTCATTTACAACACATCTTGTTAAACTTGAATGGCACAATTTTTGTACCAGGCGAGATATAAACATTGACACACGGACGAGCTGAAGTGACTTTTATTTTAGTAGAAAAATACCGGAAATACAATACCGGAATTAGTGTTGTCACTCGACAGGCGCATTTCTGCGCACGTAACCTGTTTGCAACACGTGATCACAGCGCGTCGACGTAGATGACGCGCGTGGCTGAAGCCGGAAGGTAAATAGTCGCTCGTGAGTCTGCAGCGCGGCTGTTATTTGCGGCGCTGCTGCTGGTGTGGCGAATGTGGGGGAATGTCTGCTTCGACAGCTTCGAGGACTGCTACGGTTGCGTGATTGTTAAAGGTAACAGAAGCACCCAGCAGCGGCGTCTTATGTGTTTGGGGGTAGTATATAAATCTGATTTCTTTTGGTAGCCACTGCGCTGAACCCAGTACAGAAGTGTCTGCCGATGCAACTGGTAGAATTATTTGGTTGCTTCATAGCTGGTGCAAATTATGTCTGATTGTTTGTTATGTAATCGGTTCTGTTGTGTCAAACAATCACGATAATTTACTTTTTCTGCATGCGTTTACTACTTTATGCGCTTTCTTGATTTAAGCACCTAAAATAGATTGACTGTTTCGATTATGTACTGGATAAACTATCCTGACTTTAGGGTTAAACATCCATGCATCGTAGACGAGGTTTGAACTGGGGACTCCCCAATCATTTGACACTTTCTGTGCTTGTCTAACAGGCTTTCCGTGACAGGATGCCAGACGGAAATGGCTGCTGCACGGAAGGATACGAATTTGCCGGCTACATCTCCTGCGCGGTCCATTTGCTGGAGGAGTGGATGGGCCGGGAAACTTTGGACGATTACCTCAGCTTCTTAAATTACGTGTTATGGGTATTCACCCCCTTAGTCATTGTCTTCATCCTGCCTCTATTCATCCTGCTCTTCCTCTACCTCTCCATCCTGTTCCTCCACGTGTACAAGCGTAAGAACGAGCTCAGGGAAGCCTATTCCAACAATGTGTGGGATGGAGCCCGGAAGACCTTGGCGACCCTGTGGGACGGTCACGGCACGATCTGGCACGGTAACCGCCCTAACGTACCCTACGTCCGCTTGTAAAAGTACAAATATTTACTCCGATGCGAGATTTACAATGCTGGAGTCATTGTTAAGTATGGTATCAAATAGATCCGCTCCACTTTTATAAATAAGAACTAATTATGTCCTTTGTGGCGCAAATTGAACTAAAGCAGAGGAATGAGGTCGATAGCCCGTGTCACACAAACGTTTCTGGCACTATGTCGGAATCAAGGTCATCAGTGAAAACACTTTGTAGCCGTTTGTCAGACACTTTAGCTAAAACTACACTCAAAACCAGCATCGGTGGACGCATTTAGGTTCTTCTACCTATATCTTCCCAGATGTGATTTATTACATCCATCAAATACGTTTGTGTTGTTGTATATACTGCATTGGCATTCATTACTCATGCAATATTAAGACCGATAAACTTATTATGACTTAATATTATTTTGGAGTAGGCGACGACATTTAGTTTTAAATAACCTGTGTTTTTACGTCTGGGAATCGATTTCAATTAAATATTAGATTAGCCTGCCTTGGGCAAAAAAAATATGCCGCTTGTGTAGCTAGCTGTTCGTCCGGAAGCGTGATTTCCATGGAGGAATGTCGATGGACTGCATTCCTTTATTGTACAAGAGATTGCTGTCAATGCAAATGAATCTGCTTCACGTTTACATAGCCGTATTGCTTTATTCCTTTGTTTTTATAGTTACAGCTGTGATCCCGGTTCTCTTTACTGATTTTACTCCCTAGTGTGTTTGCTCGCTACTGTGTATTTAGGGCAGGGCTATTCAAATCACCGTCCGAGCACTGCAGAATTTCCTGTCTTTACCCGTGAGCCAGGTGTGAAGCCTCTGACCAATCAGAAACGATAATTATTAAACTAACTCTCTGGGAAAGCTGAAAACACGGCCTGGATTTGGAATCGAGGTTCAGATTTGAAGAGCCCTGTTTAGGGGAGTTTTTCTATATGTGCTTGAGTATATCCTAGTGATGGGGTATAATCCAGTGTACATCCCATCATATAGTTGGAATACTCTGGAATACTGAGGCTCCGGACTGGAACAGCAGTTACTTTTGTAGGGAAGCAGTTTTTATTTTGTTTAATGCTTAACATGGTTGCCTGACCAGCTGTCTCGTAGGTGAGTGTTTCCCTGGAAACCCCATCCGTGCTTATAGTGCGTTGCATAAGCTTGTATACTGTATATTCTCAGGAATCTATATTTGAGGAATGTTATAATGTTCTTGTATGTCTATTATGTATAGATTGGTTTTTGTAATAATATAGATTCTCTCTTGACAGGTTATGAAATTCATGGTTTAGAGAAGATTCCGGATAAGGGACCAGCTCTAATAGTTTACTATCATGGAGCCATTCCTATAGATTATTATTACTTCCTGGCCAATGTCATAATTCACAAAGGAAGGACATGTCACTCAGTTGCTGATCACTTCCTGTTTAAGATCCCAGGTAAGCCCCATTCATTTTGAATGTCACAATACGGAGGCTGTATGATGATGTGTATGATACATGCCTGTTGTCCCCTCCCCCCAAACTTCCCCGAAGGGTTCAAACTGCTTCTGGAGGTCTTCAGTGTGATGCACGGCCCCCGGGACGAATGCGTCCGGGCTCTGCGAGAAGGTCACCTCGTTGGCCTTGCCCCCGGCGGCCTGCGGGAGGCGCTGTTCAGCAATGAGATGTACCCGCTGCTGTGGGGCGAGAGGCGAGGGTTTGCCGAGGTGGCCATCGATGCCCGGGCGGTGCGTAGATCCTGAGTGCAAAGTGCTGCTTAGAAGGCCAGAAGGTTTGAAGGTCATGTGACAGCCTGGTAGAACAGAGTCCCTGCACTTTGTCTGCTTGTCATAGGAATGATCTGTCTGCTATCTCTCAGGACACATTAAAAGGGCAGTTCACCCCAAAACTGAAAAAGGTGTTTTTTGGAGAGACTTTAGTGCTGTCTGTCCATCTAGGATGTTCTGCTGGGAGTTGCCTAGTTTTGGAGATATTGGCCATAGAAATGTCAGGCTTTTCTGGAATATAATGGGCGTGATGTCATTCTTTCTGTGGTGATTAAATGGCCAGAAAAATCCAACAGCGATGTCTCTTACCAGAAATCATGCCATTCATTCCCATTGTATTCGAGAGATGCCAGACGTTTCTACGGCCAATATCTCCTAAACTAGGCAGCTCCCAGCAGAACATCCTAGATAGACGGATAGCACTAAACCACATCTTTTTTTCAGTTTTGGGGTGAACCGCCATTGCCTATTCAAACCTGCACCTTTAAAGTACGTCCATCCATCTTCCGCAACTAGTATAGGGCTGTGATGAATTCTGACATTATTTTCTTATACATTGCAGCCTGTTATTCCAATGTTTACGCAGAATGTCAGAGAAGGATTCCGATACCTAGGAACTGGGAGTAAGTTTCTTTTAATGCAGAATATTTTCTGTCTGTCATCTCTTCTCCTTTAATCGTGGATCAGGATGTCACCTCTGTTTTGTGTGTGCTCAGAACTGTCCCGCTGGGTGTACGAGCGATTCCGGCTGCCTCTGGGCCTGATATACGGAGGTTTTCCTGTGAAGTTCCGTACATACCTGGGTGACCCCATTCCCTACGACCCCAACTTGACCGCGACCGAGCTGGCTAAGAAGGTAGCGCTCCTGCGCTTTAGCCAGCAAAACTCTGACCAATCACAGCCAGTCAAAGCTACACGTGGCCAGAGACTTGTGACTTGGTGTCCTCTGCTCTGATTGAACTTTCTCCAACTTCAGGTGCAGCGGGCAGTTCAGTCCCTCATAGACCAGCACCAGAAGATACCTGGGAATGTGCTGCGTGCTCTACTGGAGCGCTTTCACAGAAGACCCAAAAACGAATAGCGTCCTTTTCGGTACAGTGTGTTTTTAAGTGTATATATTTTTGTAACATCTGTCTTTGGTAATAAGCGGGTTAACAGACGGTTTTATCCCACAATCACCATTTTTTTAAAAATTGCTCCTTTTTACTGGACATCACTGGGATACATGTATTTGGGACCTTGCGGCGTGTTACTGACCCGTCCCTGCCACCTCCACAGCTGGTACAGTGGCGTGCCTTATCCAGCCTCCAGCTGCCGTAGCCTTAGGCTCACTGGGCACGCGCAGGCCGTGCTGGTTTTAACGTTTGTGTCTGTGGCGATTCACAGCCAGGATGCTGGGGGTCAGTGTCCCCAGCAGGGGCTGGGTGGAGAGTGAGGGTCTCTCTCCTCCATGCTGGAAGGTGCGTGCTTCTGCGTCACGCGCATTAGTCGTGCCTGATTGGTCCAGCAGTAGGACTGCCCCAAACCCCTTCCTCAAACAGGCTCTCCTCAGGCTCCCTCCCTCACCCGCCCCCCCCCCCAAACCACAGCACCCCGATACCAGCAGCTTTAAGAGCCAGGGTGGTGAGTCCATTGTAGTCCTTCCAAAATCCCTGGTGGGAAAGAACGTCCTATCCCTCAGATGAGCAAAACTGGGCTCTGAGCATCACTGCAGAACAAATTGAGCAGCTGCTAATACTAATAATTAATAAATTAATATTTTGTTTAAAAAAAAAAAAAAAAAGTGTGTTCACTTTAAGGGCAACAACACAATACAACATAGCCTTCAAACATGACCACTGGTAGATGCCATCCGGAGGGAACATGTTTTACTCGCATTACTGGAAGAAGGTGCACGTTTATAAGAGAAAAGTGCTGTTTTCTTCAGGTTACAGGCCTGTCCTTCGCCAGTTGTGCACGGGCTGTGTGGGGAAGAGCCAGCACTGTGGTTTGTTGCATTTCTGATTTGTGTAGAAGGCGTGAGCACTTTTTGTGCCGTAATAGTGCGCTTTCCTATCGGCACGCTGATGGAAGCGCTGCGCTTTCAGACCCACTAGGAGGATGCACTGTGAATATTTCAATCATGATAATTAAGTGTTGTAATTAGTGCAGTTATAACTACAACCAGTACAAGAGGGAAAAAAGACATTTGAGTATTTATTGTAAAGGCTGAAAGTTAGATGGAATGTCAGTGCTGGCTGTGGCATTTTTATTTTCATTTTGTGAATCCGTGTTTTGATACTGATTTTTTTTTTTTTTTTTCTTAACCGGCTTCAATGCATTTTTAAATGCTGCAGATTGAACTGATGTTTGTACATTCATGACCATCTTAGACCAAGTCCTCTACAGGTCTGTGACTTCTGTAAGAAGTAAAATTGTTTATAAAGCGAATATTTCACCTTTATCCTTGTGGTGGTCTCTCTTGTTTGTTTTTTTTTTGTGAGAGAATGTCAAAAGCACCTAAAGAACTCTGAATCTGGATTTGCAGGTGCTGGGATTGCCTGAGTTTTATCTAAGAATGGCAAAAACAGTTTGCTTTGATGGGCTGCACTAGGGTTTATTGAACTGACCCATGTCACCCTGTAAATATTAAACTCAAAGTTGGAACAATGCTGAAAATTTAAATGCCATCTTGCTGGGGCCTGTCGGGAATGTGAACATAATACCTGTATGTGAAATGTAAAAAGCGGCCACAGATCAGCATAAAGAAGACGGACGTGGTCAGAGGTCAGGCGACGTCGTCCGCTTTCGATAATGTAAAAAATAGTCGTATCATAATGCTATTACTATTTAAGTGGTTCCGGTTTTTCGACTGCAGTGCACAGCTCGTCACTTCTTGGAGAGCAGAGTTGGTCGCAGTCATTTACGTGCAAAGCCAGCTTCTTGGAACACATACATTAACGTCTTCCAAATGAAATTCTCCATCTGCCGGCATGAAATTCGGAAGACTTTATGACCTTCTGGCAGCCTGCATGTAGGTGTTCCATAAAAGCCAGACAAAAAAAAACTAAAAGAAGAGGAACGCACAAAAAAGTTCTGTGAAGCATTCCAATAAAATGTAGAAGTCCCTTCACGACCCATAACCAAACTTTCCCGGTCAGTCAGGTTATAACGAAATTTGTACAGGAGACACCATGGTGAATAAAACCCTCAACGCAGTGGTGGAGTTGGTATAAACAAACACATCAGCTCTCCGCCAACCAACATTCTGCCACAAATTCATTCTCCGATCCATTAAACTGCAAAGCCCAGGAAATGACACAAAGTGGCTGCCCTGTCCTGGTCAGTGATATCACCGCAAAGAACTAATTGCCATGTTCTGCGCACCATGGTTTCTATTAACAGAAACATTGTATCCCTATTGTTACAGACAGGTAGAATATACCTACTACTATCACAATGGTGTGTGTGTGTAAGTGAGTGCACTCATTAATAACAAGGCATTAATAACAATCTCCGCTACTAACAGGAATGGTGCATATCTCTCCTATTTGTAATATATACATTGAAATTGGTGCAGTTGATTTCTCAACATTACAATTATCATGCAATGCATAATTAAGTTATCACACTTAACTTACGGCAAACAGTAATAACCAGGAATTTCATCCCTTAATTGTAGCTATGGTAGCATTTGCTTTAAAAACACCACACGATATAACCACAGGTAATATTAAAATAAAGTGAGATGTATCAAAATAATAACCTGTTGCTGTACAGTATAATATAAAAAAATATTATAGGCATCACATGACCCAAGAAAAAAATAAATGATGCTCGTGGAATGACCACAGTGTACTTTATTAAATTAATTTGGTACCTTGTGTTGCAATAAGATCAAATAAAAATTTACAAAAAATCCAATCTATACAAAATCGTAATAGTTTACTTCCTTGTGGTTTTAGGATTGATTTTACAGTAAAAATTAAATGACCGATTAACTGCATTTAACTTCCAGCACACAATGCAAAGTACTCAAAAAAAGAGAAATAAAAAATAGACAAGATTTGTATGATACATCACATACATCACACTAGTTAAATCTTTACCTTGAGCATATTTGCACACCTTTCAGAACCATTATTGTTCTCTTAACATGGAAATTTGCATACATTTATGTACAGTTAGAAATTTCTGTCAGTCACTACTGCAATTTTCTATTGCAAAGAAAATAGCAAGAATATTTGTACATCTTGTTTACACTTTGAACAATCGTAACATTGTGTTCTCCCTGTTCAACAGTCACTGTGCTTGAACTAGGCCTACTGATGATCATGGTGTGTGTTTATTTGTGTATGTTTTCGAGGGGGGGGCATAGCATAAGGTATCAATGGCATTCACAGCTCTTTTGTCAGACTTGCATACCAATAAGTAATATTCATATATATAATCTGATTTGCGTTTGATTTTCCCATGTCTTTCATTATCCTACAAGCTAAAATCAAGAAGAACGGTGCAACCCTCCAGAGACATTTCAGTAATAGTGTTGAGAGGTCTCAGGTGCAGTTTATATTTGTAATTTCCTGGTTAAATCTGAGACATCCCAGTGTACTACAGAACACCGACAGTCTAAGTACTTAAAGGAGGTTGTACTTATCACTTGACCTAAAGTCAAACACTGGGTCGTCGTACATTTCAAAAGATTTAAAGTTACAGGAATCCGTTTGCAAGAAAAACAAGTTTGCATATTTGCTAAAATTGAATTAGGGAAACACAAAATTGTGGCTGGACTAAAACTGTACTGGAGGATAATATCGTGTAATGAACCTTGTGGCATGCTACGCTATCTCTCAGTAACTGTTTTTTAGGGTGGGAATGGATCATAGTTAATATCACGGCTACGTTTTTTACAAAAGATATTATGAGAATGGAAAACAACTGAACGTGACAAAATGTTTTAAGGCAAATTAATCTAATGCAAGCATTTTTAATTATGACAACATGACTGATCTATCCTAGCCAAGCCAAGTTCTGTTGTCAAGCACATATTTCCATATTTTGCATTTTTGATGCACCATGATCTTAGCGATGCTTTGCCATTTGAATTCTTGGCTACTCTGTTACTGGGGTATATCAGTGCAATTAACTGAGCAGATGGGAATTGTGGCAGTGGGATGGTGCAGTGGTTAGCACTGGTGCATCATACTACTGGGACCAGTGTTTGAGTCTCTGCCATGACTCATTGTGTGTCCATGTCATTGTGGGGTTTCCTCTGCATTCTGGTTTCCCCCCCACAGTCCAAAAGCATACTGAGGTTAACTGGAGTTACCAAATTGTCTATAGGTGTGAATGTGCCCTGTGATTGGTTATTGCCCCCCCCCACCCCCGCTTAGGATAAGCTGTTACAGAAAATGGATAGGTGGTTGGGAATTGTGAAGAAAGTATCCTGTTCATTGTGCAAGCTGAGGTAGTTTGATGTGTGGTAGTGTTGTTTTAAACTCTTCCAGGAAAAGCAATGCAAAACATGATAAAAACACAAAACAGCCACCCCCCCCCCAAATAAATAAATAAAAAATAAATATATAGTGTTTCTAAGTAGTTTTACTAGTGCAGCATTCCACGCTACAGCTGCGTGGAGACGCCTGTGCACCCCAGATGCGCCGTGGGCAGACGCGCAGTGCTGAGAGGCACATTAAATAACGAAACATGATTAAAATGTAATCCATCGATTACATCGGTAACCCCTTGCAGACATCAAGCAGCCACATGCTTTATCATCGTCTATCATTTAGTGGTGGGGGGGTGCTGGCACGGCACCACCATCATGCACCAACATTCCCACGCGTGACGCGCACGAGCCTGCCGGGAATAAATCAGGCAGCCAATCAAAACTGACCGCGCGTGCTGACTTTCTGTTTTTTTTTCTTTTCTACTCCACGCTAGCCTGTTGGGCGCGCCGCCGTCGTGTGAGGCGCGCCCCCGCAGTTAGTACGCCCGCACTTGCTGCGCTGCAATTGGTCCCTTCTTGCAAAATGACGCCCAGACGGAATCAGACATCTGATATTATACTGGACCCTCTGTTAGCTATAACATCAGGTGAATGGTCGATGGAGTGAAATAAATAAAAGGAACATTTATTTTATGCTGCACACATTCGCATTCACAAATTGCTAGGATAAGATGGTCATGTAAAAGCGGAACCATTTAATCATATGATGCTAAACGTGTTCTAATTACTATATTATTCGTTTGTGCTTACGCCCAAGCTTAACTGATGTACATCGTATTTTGCTTAGAAAAAGAATATTTGCATCACAGCTATGTATATTCACACAGTTTGCATCTAATATTAGAAGAGAGCAAATTAAAACTAATAGCACACGCAGATAATTCGTTCAGATAAATTACAGAAACCACGGACCCGCCCCTTTCGCCTGCTTATCCGGCGCGTCCCCTTAAAACCCACCCCAGCAAAAATGTCAGCATTTTCGGGCGATCGTATGGGCAAATGTTCCGTGTTAAACCGGTTTTCGGGGGAAAATGGATCTGACCAGCCTGCGGGATACCTGCTGTGTGCAACACCAGAAAGCATGAACCGCCGTCTGTATGTGTGTGTGCTGACGTGCAAATGTGCCTAATATTAATCCCCCGTTCCCCGCGTTACATCCTATTTTAATCCAGCACCAAATGCGACAATACTGTGATTAAAAGAAAACGGGATCCATCTTCACGTCTCCCTGAAGTATTTCACGTGCATTATCGGTCAGCTGGTGCTTTTCATAAACAGCCCATTGCAGACCTGCGATTCATTGCGGAGTCGGGGTGTTGGTGCCAGCATGTCAGTCGCTCGCTTTCTTTTTGCGATGAGCAGAGAGGTATGTTATCTGTACTGAATAAGTAACGTAAGTTTCGGTTACAGACAGCGGGCGCTGTGTGCTGCGCAGTCCAGGCTCCGGTGCGGCGTGCGGCGCCCGAAAGCCTCACCGAACAGACCCTAATAAGCAAAGCAGCCACGCCTTATCAGATGTGCTCGAAAATCTCCGGTTCAAAGCCAGTTTAGACTTAAGATGAACTGCTGGGCGTTACCCAAGGACGTATATATGGGTATGTACGGTAGGGGCATGTCCTAATAAATATTGTGAGAACACCATGTGTGTTTAGGGGGGGGCGGAGGTTAGAAGCGGTTTTGGACCCTACAAATGTTGTAACTAATCCTACGCCTTTGCTTAGAACATTATGAGGATTTAAGTGCTTGAATGTCTATTTTGCAGGCCAGCTTGCTCTGTGATCGGAACATCAATTCTTCGCAGAAGGGAAATCCTGAATATTTTTTTTTGGGTAAAAAGACTTCTTTGGGGGTGGTGTCATATGGTGTTTCTAAAACAGCATTGTAAAGCGATGTGCTTTACACACAATTAAACAAAATGAAAACAATTGTAATCAACGCCGTCCATATCTGTAACTTTATATTTCAGATTCATCTGAATTAAACACTGGATCCCAACATTGTTCATAATATCTATAGAATGTAAAACTGGAAACAGCATCTCAAGCCAAAAAATAAAAAGTAATTATTCCATATGAATTTAAACAAGTTTACTATTGAGTACTCTATGGAAAGGAGCAGTAGATGTGTGTGTGGTCTCAGTGGTATAGAACATCAAAACGCCATACAGCCCATTTCAGATTCACAGATTTAGTCAGAACTGATTGCATTTGCACTGGAAGGGGAGAAAAAAGGAAATTTAGTCTAAACAGAAAGTGAAGCGTTTCCATGTTTCTGTATGAGTAGTGTGTATCAATGGTGCAGCTGGATGAGCGGTGTGTATCAGTGGTGCAGCTGTATGAGCAGTGTGTATCAGTGTTGCAGCTGGATGAGCAGTGTGTATCAGTGTTGCAGCTGGATGAGCAGTGTGTATCAGTGTTGCAGCTGGATGAGCAGTGTGTATCAGTGTTGCAGCTGGATGAGCGGTGTGTATCAGTGGTGCAGCTGGATGTCAATACCCTTCCTAGGAGTCAGCTCCTCAGACAGAACCTTACCCTTTTTTCGCCTTTCCTTTTCACTGTTGACTGTGACTAGGAGGACGAGGCTGCTGCCGGTTATGTGTCCCGCTATTGTGTGGTTCTACGTCAAAGCCCGGTGGGTTGGTTTGACGCAAACTTGAAGCACCCTAAGCTACTCTTAGGGACTGTCCCTCCCCAAGGTCACGGACGGAGCTCCTTTATCATCTCGCTGTCCGAAAAAGAGAATGATGTCACCTGTTGACTGGAAGTGACCTTCAGGACACCGTCCCTAATGGTGGGACAGCAACCTCAGTCCGTGGAGTAGGAGCAGAGAGGGCCAGTTCAAACCCGAGAACACAAGTGTAACATTCACTGGATTAACACGTGGCTTCACCACTGTGGCTGCTGGATTGTGGTCGCTGGGTCTTCTTGTAACTTCCAGTTATTTTCTACTCCCTCTCTCCTTCGTCATTCCCAGCACACAAACATTCCACCAATGAGGGTGCACTGTACGATGAACCCTGCCAAGAGATTGGCTCCTGGCCTGCGTCAATCAACACCAGAGTCCTGCCCCACCACCCCAACCTCCAATTTTTTATGTTTTTTCACGATTTCTTCTCTTCTTTTAATTCAAGTAAACAAAGATCTGGTCTTGCCTTAGTGTTCAAGTTCAGGTTCTATAGAACCTGCCAGCATCAGACCTTTTGGCACTACAACGAGTCAGTGAGAAAAAACAAATTAAGGTCCCCGACCTGAAAATCAGTGAGTGACGTGAACAGCAGTGTGTCGATTTTGATGACATCACATGGGTGAACAATATATATTTCCTGGCTACGTTTTTCACCAAATAGTATATTGAAGCTTAATTTTGGCCGCATAGAATTATCCAACTTTTTTTTTTTTTAAACTATTTTTAGATGCGTTGCACATGGACAGTTTGATGGACGGAGATGATGGACGTGGGGTGTGTGAGAGCTCACCCCGCGGATCCTACCAGAAAACGCATGGCCATTAGTCAGGCCCCACTAAGGGGCTTCTGCAGGGCTTGGTCAGTCAGTAAGGGGCTGGTGATCAGGTAAGTCAGCTAGAGGCAGAGAGATGGGGGGTGCATATGGGTGGGGGTGGGCGAGAGGTGAGCATCTTGGCTAAAAAAAGGGGGGGGGGGATTCCCTGACAGACATAAAAAAAGTACCAAACGAAAATTAGAAGATAGAAAGAAATTGCTGTTTAAAAAAATACGCCGGATAGGTCCTTAAACTGACTAGTTAGTGATGTGGCGCGTTTTCTGTCCCTGACGACATGACGGTTTGCTGCCGTGGAGACAGGGAGCTGGTACGTTATTGCCACAGTCCCGCTGTTGGGGCCGGGTGACAGAGCCCTGTGACGTGCTCCGGCGGAGGGACAACGCGGTGGAGGGACAACGCGGTGCCACCAGCTACAGCGTGGTCTCGTACTCCAGCCGCTCGTGCACCAGCGCGTCGTCCTTGTACTGCAGCCGCGGCGGCACAGGCGAGCCCTCCAGAGACAACACGGCGCGCCGGATGCTGCGGTCCAGAACGTGCTGCTCCCAGGCCGGGTACCGGTTCCGGCACAGGTCGATGCGGATGACCGGCTCATCGACCCGCGGGGCACGGGACGAGGGTGTGGACGGCACTACGGGTCTCACCTGGAACACGGGGACAATGCCGCCGTCCCTCTCCGAGTGCCTGGGGTCCCTCTCAATCGTGCCGCCGCTGCTGGCACCTCCCCCGCGGTTGGACCGCAGCGAGTTGGTGGCGCCCTCTTGTGGCAAAACGAAAGGAGTGCTGGGGTCGTCCAGCGTGCAGCTGACCGAGCGGCCAAATCGCGGCCCGTTGGGGTGGAAGAAGGTGTAGTACATGAGCATGAAGAGCACGCCGGTGAGGAAGCTGCTGAAGATGACACAAAGGGCAGGAATGGCAAAGGCGTCAGTGGTGGAGGGCAGTCGGTAGAGGTACCAGAGAGTGCTCAGCGCGGCGTTCTCCAGCAGCACCACCAGGTAGTAGACGAAGAGCCGGTAGCGCGTGCGGCCCTCCTTGACGTTGAACCAGCTGAAGATGTAGACAATGCCCACAACCATGTCGAAGACGATCTCCTCCCACTTGGTGACGCAGAACTCGGTCTCGCAGTGGACAATCCAGAAGGTCATGATGCACCAGTGCAGCACGATGAAGACGCCAAAGTAGAGCTGGAATACGGAGGCGAAGAGGGCGAAGGTGATGACGCGCGCCGCGATGGTGAAGAAGTGCCAGCAGAACTGGATGACCACAGCCAGGTAGCTCATGGGCCGCTTGTCTTCCCGGGAGTCCCTCAGGGCCTTCTGGTAGGAGGCCAGGGCCCAGGCCAGGGACACCAGGGAGGCAGCCGCTGTCATGCCTGCAGAGGAGGATGGAGACACGCCCTTGTCAGCTCCAGAGGGGCCACAAACACACACACTGAGAACCACAAACAGCTATACACCAGCACACATACCTACAGCCCCCACAGTCAGAACCTCAGGCTCACACACACTGCCTCTAACAGGCAGAACCTCAGGCTCACACACACTGCCTCTAACAGGCAGAACCTCAGGCTCACACACGCTGCCTCTACAGTCAGAACCTCAGGCTCACACACGCTGCCTCTACAGTCAGAACCTCAGGCTCACACACGCTGCCTCTACAGTCAGAACCTCACACTCACACATGCTGTCCCTACAGTCAGAACCTCAAACACGCTGCCCCTATAGTCAGAACCTCAGGCTCACACACGCTGCCCCTACAGTCAGAACCTTACAATCTCATATGCTGCTCCTACAGTCACATCTTCACTTGCATGCATCCCCTAACTTTAGTATGTTCTCACAGTCTGGGCTCAAAGCTTTTCCTACCCAAAATGCAATTGTATACAGTTAAAAGCTGATTGGCCCCCAGAGTGCCCCCTTGTCTGTCACCCACCTATTTAAAACATGATTGGCTATAATAAGGCCGGCCTCTCGGCATGAATTTTCGCCCCTTTACCCGCCACCCCTCCCCCTTAAAAATCCTAGAATCACCCCTGCCAAGCCACCCCTGGCTAGGCGGTCCTCGCATTTTCAGGTGACATGCTGGGTGACAGGTCTAACCTCCTGGGGTTTGCACGAGCTCACTAAGCGATGAGAATGTGATTCCTGAGGGAAAGGCCCACAGCAGCCTGTCACTGAGCTGCCCTGGATGGACACCTAAGCTTCTCCAGACATCTGCTCCTGGTGCTGGTACTCGGTGAGGTCCCAGCCATCCCGGAGAAAAGCACTCACCTCAGCTGCTCCGGGGGAACGCATCAGAATGCAGAAAAGGTTAAACAGACCCATCTGACCGAAAGAGGATGTTAGACTCTTCAGAAAAATGTGTGGTCTGTAATCACTAGCAGACTTTCACCCTCGGGTCTGACCCAAAAACACTTTGGCCCACTTCTGCCCCAAGTGGCACAGCATTGAGGGCAGCAGACCAAGAGAATTGTGGCCACAATGTAGTCAAACTTTAGTTCTTGCATAAAACATTTTTAAATTCAGTGTATATAACAGTCTGTTATATTTGGTCTTATAGTGCAAGTAAATATCTCACTGCACTTGGTACACACCATGATAAAACTTTGAATCCTTGAACCCATTCCAGCATAATATATTACCGTTATGCAGGTTTTCGAAACAACAAATGCTTTCCTCAATTTGTACAGCTGGAAATGTTTTCCCAATCAATTCGGGTTAAGTACCTTTCTCAAGACATGCCGCCCTTTTGAGACGTGAACTAGAAACCTTAGCTGCATATAAAATTCACGTCCCCGAATGTCACCCTATCGGTGCCGCTCGCCTCCTTCAGCGCGCGAGGCAGCGGGAAAAGCCAGAGACTGATGTGTCAGTTTGGCTGGCGCCCGTCTATCGCTGCGTGTGCTGCGTTCATAAATCAGCCCGGGAATTCTACGGCGCTATGGAAACGGCGTGCTCAGCACCATGGACTGAGGCCCTGTCAGGAGGGTTTGTTAACAGTAATTGATGGCACATATTGAACTAATTGAAAGCAAGTATGAGGGTCTCGTTGAAGGGTTAGGCATTTAAATATCACTTATACCCTTGAGAGGGACATTACCAGAAATGAGCTCCTGCAGGCTTTTATCTAAAAACAGATGTGCAGAAAATAGAATTGTTATTCTCTGAAATAGTGGTCTGTGCCCATACAAAGGGGCTCAGGCAATTTTTTTTAATTAAAAGACAACTTGATGGTTCTTACTGGCTTGTATGTAACGCACGAGGCAGAAGCTGCCATCCCTTCCTCGCAGGTTTCTTTGTAACGCACGAGGCAGAAGCTGCCGTCCCTTCATCGTAGGTTTCTTTGTAACGCACGAGGCAGAAGCTGCCATCCCTTCCTCGCAGGTTTCTATGTAAAGCACGAGGCAGAAGCTGCCATCCCTTTGTCTCAGGTTTCTATGTAACGCACGAGGCAGAAGCTGCCATCCCTTCCTCGCAGGTTTCTATGTAACGCACGAGGCAGAAGCTGCCATCCCTTCATCTCAGGTTTCTATGTAACGCACGAGGCAGAAGCTGCCATCCCTTCCTCGCAGGTTCCTGTGAGCCTGACAGGTTTCACACATTGCAGTTGCTTCGTTTGAGCTAGGAGGGGCCTGACTGTAAGCTACCACAGAGAAACGTGTCTTTTAAGGCTCCCTCCCCAAGGACTGGATCATGGTTCCACTCCAAGCTGTGCTACTCCAAGATCTGTAAAAGTGGGAGATCAGTTAGTGTCGTTCCTCAACAAAGGGGGATTTGAGGTCCAGTTCAGGCCGTTCTTCTGACCTAGTCAGCAGTTGTTGCTCAGGGGGTGACATTCACCTCCTACACCTGAGTCACACCCCACTGCCATGCAAACTCTACTCAAGAATGGAGTCAGTCCTTCTGAGTCTTGTTAGCTTTCACCATCCAAGGTCACAATACCCGTTAGAGAAACATAGTCAGTTCCTGTAAAATTATGGAGACTATAGTTCAGCGCCTAGGACTAAATATTTAGCGGCAGATGGTATCAAGAGGGAGGTACTTTGTGGTAAAAGTGTACAGTGTTGTTAATATGAATATAGTTGATCTTTCTGTATTGCAACTCCACATGGCGGTTTTGATGTATCACGGGGTCAGTGTTAGAAATTAAATGGACACTTTCTGGGAGTTTTGCGAAAGCTACAGATGACACACGAAGGCCAGCAGATGGTGCACAAAAAGTTTAGAGACTCATAAATACATAAAATATATGTTCAGTGCTGGACTGGAGGACGCCAAGCGTGTTTACGGCAGCCTCTCACGTGAGATCTCGCAGTGATCTGGCAGTGATCTCGCAGTGTCTTTTCGCTTTGCTCCACTCGCATGCTCCCTTCACTTGCGCCCCCAACCCCCGCCATGTGGAAGGATCCATTGTAAGGTTCAGCTTGTGAATATCTGCCCTATAAAGACCAATATAAATCTTCCAGACCTGCTCACCCTACATTGATAAGTTGATTCACCCTGTCTGACCAGGCCCAGCATCCGGGTGTGTGTGTGGGGGGGGGGTTTGACACTGGGACCCTTGCACACCAGTGCTCTCGTCGTGGCCCCTGGCACTTCCTAGGGCTCGGCTCTCTTGATGCTTCTCCTCTGAGGTGGATCTTGGAAAAACGTGGTCCTCAAAGTAACGGCGTAACAATAAGTAACTGCGGAAATATACGTGGTTCATTGCACAACAAGCCACGCTTGTCATGTTATTAAAAAAGTATCATACGCAGTCATGTGCCAACCACAGTTACTAAGCATTTGACACTTTTGTACCTAAAAACATTTCACGTGTACGAGCCAGAAGTGCATTTATTAATTATAGCTACATTTTGATTTAGTCTCCGTCAATTTTAAATTGTGCTCTAACTCTTGAATTTTAAGTAATGTTAGTTAGAATTGAGGATTGTAATAGCACATTGATTTACTAGTGTGATTTGCCTGGTCAGCACTATGTGTGCGGTTACAGAACACCCTTTGGACCAATCAGGTTTGAGAATTCAAACAGTTGGCGCTTGGGGATTGTGGGAGAGCGAGAGAACTGAAAGCTTGGAAATGGCGCATGCTGGTGATACCATGACCAAGGGCAGCTTTTCACCATCCCGAGGGACAGACAAATCTAATGAGAACTAACGTCGACTCAGGTGGAGCAGGATGAAAAGCAGCACATCCTGATGGACCGGGCCTAACCCTAAACCTACCCCTAGGGGGCGCTAAAGGGAGGGCTCTTACCTTGAATGGCCTGCAGCTTGTGGGTCTGGATGATGATGCAGAGCTGGAGGACCAGCTGGGGGGCGCTCTCCAGGAAGGTGGCCAGCAGATGGAGCATGCTGACATCGGCGTACTCGTACACCATCCTCCAGTGGAAGAGCCAGCGCTCGTGCTCGGGCCCGCGGCGGCTCTGCACGCCCAGGTAGATGGTGTGGAGGTACCTGCGGGCAGAAGGAAACGCTCCTGCAGTCCACAGCCTGCACCCGGACACCGCCGGATGCTCCCGGTTCCCATCGGGCCCAGAGCAGCGCGTCCCCGAGGTCCCAGCATGCATTCGGCTTGAGTCGACAGGGTAGAGCGTCTCAGCTAGCGACCATTCCGCACGCCACCCCTTGCTGTAGATTTCATCATGATCTGTGAGTCACTCGCTGTTTACTACCAAGGCTGCTTAGTGTGAAATGCGTGATAACAGGGAGAGGTTTAAATCGGGCCGCCTTCACGGAGCGCGTAATTACTCCGTGGCGTGACGCGCTGCCTACGGCTAACCTCTGCCACGGGGGCTCCGATTTCCCCACTCGCTCAGTAGCGGAACTTGACGCCGCGAGTAATTTCGGGTTAATTGCACATGCCTGCACACGCCGTCAACGTTCCTTGTATTTAACGCCGACACCGAATTAATTTTCAGGCTGGGGGGCACCATGGATATCACAGGGTGGGGGAAAGCCCTGATCCTGAAGTCTGACCCATCCCTCTGCCATGGCCCTAACACTCCATGGGGGGGGGGGGTGACCTGCTGCAGCTTTGGTTGAACAGTTGAAATGATATTATTCTTTATTTGTTATCTGCACAAATACATTGGAAGTCTTTAGTTTTCACATATTCCATCTTGCTCACCATAGTGAGATACAGGCAGGTGAGGGGGAGACTTGGGGTCCAAGGGCAAGCATTTGTGGGGGGGCGGGGGGGTTGGCTTGCTGAAGGGCCCAACAGAGATGTGACTATTCTGCTGAGGATGGGATTCGAATCAGCAACCTTCTGTTCACTGGCACAGGCTTGACCCACTGAGCTGCACATCACCCACCACTCCTGCTGTCCTCACTCCCATCCCCAGATGAAGTCCCTGTTCCTTCTCCCCATCCCTGTGCAACGTGGATCAAGTCATCATCCGCAACCAAGAAAGGCTCCTGGTGGAGATCAGTGCACCTCTTAACTTTCTGCTAGATCAAAGATGCCTACGCGAGCAACAGGGTCGGTTCACAAACCCCTCTGGGCCTGACTTCATATGCAGCGCTGATTTTCTGGGCAGGATTCCAAGCGCGCCTCCAGTACGTGCTGCCTATACTCAAGGCTTTTTGGGTGCCGTAAAGCTGCTATTTTCTTGCCGTTGATTACAATGCGTTTAAGAAATGTATCAAAATAGGTCGGCGAACCGGCGCTCATGTAGTAAGCAGCTTCTAAATAGGATTTGCCTTTGTCTTACACAGGCTTCTTGGCTGCACACGTTGGCACAAGTTCTTCAAAACCACACTCGAGTGGTTTTTTTCTGAAACGTGGATGCGGTGGATGATTACTACTGAATATTACTGCTGAGGAATGAGTTATGACTGAAAGTAAATCTAGAGTAATCAGTGGAAACATACATAATGAAATATAATACAGTCTGAACTAATCATCTTCTCATCCACCATAACTTCTTATCTGTTGGGGGGTCACAGTGTGCCTACAATAGGAATCACAGGGGAGCACCATGCATGGTCAGTTACTGGAGATACTGATTCACCCCAATGTATGTCTTTGGATCATAAATGGGAGGTAGAGTATCCAGAAAGAACTGAAGTGAAAGGAGGGGGAGCACACAAGCACACACACATTGGGGGGAGTCAAGCGCACAAACCTTGCTGGTGTGAGGGAGTAGTGTCACCCACAGTGTCACCCACCTTAGCTACCATCTGTATTATTATAAATATGACCTTGTGTGACTTAGACGGACGTCCCAGGACACACACGGACGGTGCACAGTCAGCTGATGAAGATGCTCTTTCACAATACCTGTGCCTTATTAAAAAAAAATATTATAAGGCTGCCGTTCTTCCCGAACCTGGAGCCTGACGCCTCACCCATAAGGCTGCCGTTCTTCCCGAAGGTGAAC